CGCGACAGCACAGATGGGTCAGTGGTAGACCCAGCCATCACAGCCTACGCTGCTAAGAGACAGGCGGCAAAGGCTGAGATACAGAAGCAACGCCGGTTGGCCGCTGAAGAGCAGAGGGCCGCCAATGCAACAGATGACAAGGCGCCTAAGGGCGGTGGCCGGGGGGCGGGCAGAGGCTCGACCCCCAAGGATGAGAAATGAGCAGCTCCCTGGTGGTCGCGAGGGCGCCGCGACCGCAAGTAGCAGGGATTTTAGCGTCAGACAGTTTTCCCAGGAGCCGCGGAGATGCTTTGGGGACGTGTTTCCACTGCCCATTCCTGCTGAAAAGGGTTACTCTGGACCGGTGGGGTTGCTGAGATCGAGAAGGTCACGGCAGAGGGTATCGCGGCGTAGACAGAGTTTTCTTGACGAGGTCGACGCAATTTCGGCTTTGAACGTCCTTGCAGGATTTGATGATCGTGCCTCGTGGCCTGGAACCCCCATAAACCAGGCACAGTTTTCCGTTTTGTCTCGAGTGCGAACGGCACACCAAACACGGCCAGGACCACCCGAGAGTCAGAGTGGCCAGGCAGCGCTCAGGCAGCTGCTGGCAAAACGGGCCGGCTATTCTGTGGGCCCAGGTGCTTTAGCCAGCTACGTGAGGGAGCGAGTGTCGCTCCCGAGGGGTCAGGGGGAGCCGGTTCAGATCGCGGACCTTCTTCCCCCTGAAGAAAGATACAGACTGGAGAACTTCCAGAATGAGATGTTATTGAGCAGCGAGGAGGCGGCTGGTGTGATTGAGAGTGGGCAAGGGGGAGAGTGTCATCTTGACCCGGTGTTGGCGCGCAACCCTAAAGCTTACCATCAGTTTATTCATGACCTGCATGCCTGTAATCTTATTGGATTTACTGACAAACCGAAGATCCAGGTAGGACTTTTCGTGGTCACCAAAAAGGGCGAGAAACAGAGACTTATTGTGGATGCTAGGCCGACAAATCGTTTCTTCCGCGCACCTCCTTCAACACTCCTGGGATCGGTTGAAGCTTGGGGAAAACTGGAGGTGCAAGACGATGAATTTTTCGTGGCGCAGGAGGATGTCCGGGACTTCTTTTACAGATTGGGTATAAGCAAGGAACTGGGGGAATATTTTTCGCTACCTGAGGTTGATCTGGAAAGGCTTTCTCGAGAGATGGGGAGTTTGCCGGAGGAGGCACGCCTTATCCAGAGCCAGGGCGGACGAGTTTTTCCACTTTTCCGTGTTTTGCCAATGGGATTCTCGTGGGCCTTTCACCTCGCTCATGAAGCTCACGTACATCTCGCCAGGTCAGCTCTACCTACCAGGCGTACCAGTCGCCACCGATCGACGGCCTCCGCCAGTATTATCTTCTACGCAGGCCGGGACCGAGAGTGCCATGATGATTTATGCCGATAACAATAACCACATATCCATCAAGAGCACGAGGGTGGCAACGGAGCAGAAGCTTATGATGGATCGCTTGCATGAGCACGGGTTGGCAACACATGACATCACCGAGGCATCGAGCATCGCAGAGAGTTTGGGTGTTAGAGTAGACGGACTTTCTGGCCGAATAACCGCTACACCTGCTCGTGATTGGAGGCTGTCTCGTGCTCTTCGCGGTTTGGACGCCAGGCCATCTATTTCCTGCGAGGAGTTGCAGGTGATCTTAGGGCACATGACCATGAGGAGTATGCTGAACCGATCGTTGCTTAGCATCCTCAGGCACTCGTATGTCTTCGTGGCACAGTGCTACACCAAGGGGACGCGACTCTGGGTTAGTGTGGCACGCGAGATGTTTTTATTCCGGAGCCTGATGGTTTTGGGAGAAGCAAACGTGATGGCGCATTGGTCACCCGACATGTTCTGCACTGATGCCAGCCTTTCGGGGTACGCTGTTATGAGTCGTCGCCTTTCGCAGGAGATGCCTTTGTCCGTACGGGGCTTTGATGAGAGATGGCGTTTCAAGAGGGCCAGTGGCTCGCGCGTGGCCCCGAGGACTGCGGCTCTGGAGGGTTTGGATGTGTTTGAGGATGTTGAGACAGTCCTTCCAAGTGTTAGTGGAGAGGTACAAGGGGTCGACGAATTGGGGAAGGGGTTCCCGGAAGTCGCGAGCGGATTGATGGAGCAGTCACAGTGGCACTGCCTGTGGGCCGCACCGATGCGTTTCCGCGAGCCCATTCATCAGATAGAGGCTAGAAGTATTCTTTCGCTCATGAAGCATTTGGCAAAGGACCGGCGATATCACAACACCAGAGTAGCTGTTTTCAATGACAACATGGGTGTCGTTTTGGCAGTCTCGAAAGGCCGATGCTCTAGCTATGGACTGCTTCGATTGTTGAGGCGACTCAGCGCCCACATACTGGCCACTGGCATTCGCCTTCATCTTAGGTGGGTGCCTTCGGAGCTCAACACCGCCGATGCCGACAGCCGACGGTGGGAACCAGGTCGGAATGGGAGGGCGTGCCAAAGCACCAGCCAAGAGGCGTGTCGAGGTTTTCGGAAAGAGCGAGGTGATCAGGGCGAACGCCCTATGCAGGCACCCAGAGGAGCAGGTGGAGATACCCACACGTCGAAGGAAGCTGAAATCTCCATCATTGAGCCCCGGAAGGACACATCGCGTGGAGCAGAGGGGCAAACTCCGAAGGGTGGTAGAGATGCACAAGAAGAAGCGAGAGAAAGCCATGCGCAGGAAGAGGAAGTATATCAAGAGGATGAGAGCGACCCGAGGGGAGAAATCCATCCTGGAACTGAACAGTGTCAAGGAGCCACAGAGCGAGGCGGCTGGAAAAGTTCTATGCGTTCGCGGACCACTTCGAGCTCGACATCACGAGCGAAAAGGGTCTCGACGAAGTCCTGTGCGAGTACGCGGATGCGCTTTTCCTAGAAGGAGAGGACTGCAACAGCGGACAGAAGCTTTTGGCAGCTTTGGAGTTTCAGATGCCCGAGTGGCACAGGGATGGAACCCTGAAGTTGCCGAGGTTTCGGCGGGCTTTGAAGGGTTGGCGAAAGCTCGCGCCCCCGCAGACGCGTCTCCCTCTCCTCGAGTTCCTGAAGGGAGCGATTTCCGGAATCATGATTTTTCTGGGTTGCCGGGAGATGGCCCTTTACAACGAGTTCACTTTCTCGACTTACGCTCGCCCGGGCGAGGCTTTGCGGCTCATGGCAGGAGACGTGGTGCCCGGGAACAAGGACTTCGAGCACACAGTGGTGATTCTGAGCCCCGTGGAGCGGGGGGAATCGTCGAAGGCCGGGATTTACGACGAGACGATCATCCTGGACGACACGCGGGTCAGCTGGCTGCCACGTATGCTCCAGGAGCAGGCGGCAACGCAAATGGCCAGTCATGGGGAGGACGCGCACCTCTGGACTTTCACAGCAAGTGCCTACCTCAAGACCTGGAGGCAGTGCGTGGAAATTCTAGATATTGGCAGCTTGGCCAGCAGCCCGTACCAAAACAGACATGGAGGGGCAAGCAGGGACCATGTGCAGAAGCTCCGGAGCACCATGGACATCCAGCGCCGTGGGCGGTGGGCCTCAGACTCGAGCGCACGCATTTACGACAAGCCAGGGCGCATGCAGCAGGCGATCAACAAGTATCAGGGCGACTTCCAAGTCTTCGGCGAAGATGTGAGGAAAAACTTTGTGCTTTACTACCGCAGTGGTTTGAACCGAATACCGGCCAAGGCGGCCGCCAGGGCACGCTCTTCGAGGGGGACGCGTTCCTGAGTTTGTTCGGGGGAAGGGCCAAGGCGGCAGAATTTGTGGCAAAACAAGGTGGCACTTCAGTAGTCATCGATGCTGCGCATTCCCCTTGCAATGACCTCGCGAAGCCGCATGCTTGGAATGACATTTCTCGTATACTTAGTAATTTCACTTATGTGGGCATTGATTTACCTTGCGAAACTTGGAGTCGCGCTCGCAGGGCCCCTGTAGGAAGTCCCATGCCAAGGGCGCTGAGGGGAGACAATCCTGACGACGTTTTTGGGCTGCCAAACTTGTCACCTGCAGATGCAGAAAAAGTTCGCAAGGGCAACTTCATGCTGTGGGGAGCAATTAAGCTCATTCGCAAGTGTCTTCGCCAAGGCACGTCTGGATACTTGGAGAATCCTCTCACTAGCAAGGTGTGGCGAGTACCGGCGATACAGAGACTGCTCAGTGATCCACGTGTTAATTTTGTGGCTGTTGACATGTGCCGTTACAACAACCCTTTTCGCAAACCCACTGGGTTACTGGTTTGGAATACTACAGCCTTTCAGACGTTGCGGTGTCGCCCTGGTCTCTGCGTCAGGACTCATCGGCGCCACGTGCAGCTTACCGGAATCGCCTTCGGCAAGTTCCTCACCAGTCAAGCCCAAGCCTACAGTGAATCCTTTGCTGCTGACCTCATGACGCAAATAAACTTCCACCGGCATGCGCTGAACATTAAGCCCTCCCTGCCCACCGCTTGAGCCATATGCAGATTATGGGGATGGGGATGCGGCATCACATATGCTGGTGCATTGTAATGTGAGGGCGGTGCTGATCTGTATGTGCTGCGCCCGCGAAGCTGGCGAGTCATCCGAGATGCACCTGACTACGGACGGACACGAAAGTTCGTGCACAAAAACTGGGAGCGCTGCGGAAGCATATATATCAAAACTATCCCGTTCGGCACTAGATTGAAGATATTCCACATTCCTGTGTGGCTTTGTCTGCCTTTGTCGTCTTCTGAGCAAGCCCGAGAAACTTGAGAACATGCCATCCTGACAAGCAACCCTCCCTGAAGCCCTAAACCCCCCTTGACGCAGAACCCCCTAAGACAGACAGCCCAACGCCTCAGCCTGCAGCCCTCCTCCCTGCCAGTGGGAAACCGCGGACACCATGCCGGTCTTCATCTTGTGTGGCGGCCCCAGACCAAAGCACTAAGCCCTAAACCCTAAATTAAAACTCTACACCCTAAACCCTAAACCCTAAACCCCTAAACCCTTAAACCCCTAAACCCCTAAACCTTAATCCCTAAGCCCTAAAGCCGAAAGCCTAACCCCAAAACGAAAAAACCCTAAACCCACCATCAAGCCGGGGTCTTCGAGGTCTCGGGCTTCGAGCCCCTCTGAACTTCTGGGTCCAGGTCAAAGGCGTAGGGCCGTTACGATGGGTTTAGGGTTTAGGGTTGAGGGTTGAGGGTTTAGGGTTTAGGGTTGTGCACATTTTGCTGTTAAACCTTGTGCTGTGATACTCCCAAAGCCCTATTCGGATCATGAGCGCCCCTACATCAAAGTACTGCTTCAAAGGAACCTTCGTAAGAAACCTTAGTTCAAATCATTAAGTTGCACCGCCGTCGAAGTTCTACAGCATCCGAAGGACTTGACGTGATGCCCTCCAGCCTTAAGCGCCCGGCGCCCTGCAGCTTTCGAAAGGTATACTCCTGCTGGTCTGCTTCTCCATCAAGGCTCTCTCTCTCTCAGTGGCCTTGGGATTTAAGGTTTCGTGAGCTGTCGTGTTTTTGGGGGTTGGCTTCCAAGTCAAAGACCTTTACCCTTGACCCCTAAAGCCTCGAGAGCTTGAGCAAAACCGACTGCATAAAGCCCTGAAGCAAAAACCCCGGCGCCAACATTTCCGTTTTGTCTGGTCTCGGCTTTACCGGCGCGGGGCTTCGGTTTAGGTTTAGGGTTTGGGGCTTGGAGGGTAGGTTTAGGGATTTTAGGGTTCAAGGCTCCGGGAATAAAAGGGGTTTGGGTTTTCTACCGCCGGATCTGGAGTTGCATTTCGGCTTAGCTCTTCGCCTTACACTCCGAAGCCCCCCCCCCCGCCGTACGCCTGAAACGCCATAAACGAAACATCCGAAACTTGCAGAGCATGGAAGCCTCAAAAGCAGCAAACTCGAAAGGACTGTGAGCACTGGCACGCGATGAGTTCAGAGTGGGGGCTGTGTTTGAATTGCGGGAGCCCCGTTTCCATGTGGTCTCCAGCCTCGCATGAACCTGGTTGGCTGAACGCAAGGAAAAGACGGAAGACTTGGGAGAGACCGCTGGTCTACTACATACCACTACCCATAAAGGGACCCAAAAACCCCCCTGTATTCTTGAAGCTTTGTCCCCATTCATACGAACCCTGAGGCCTAAACCACTCCAAGGCCTTACACCGCCAAAACCCTAAACAAAAAGCACCCTAAACCCGAAACCCCAAACCCTAAGCCCCAAACCCTAAAGCCTAGGCCCTAAACCAAGCCCTAAGCCCCAAACCCTAAAACCCTAAACCCTCATAGTAACCCTAAAACCCCAAACCCTGCAGCCGAATCCCGAAGCATCCCGGGGCCCCAAAACCCGAAACGTTGCCCTGCAGGTGCTGGCGCTGTGCCCTGGCATCTTTTGGCCCTACCGGCACTACCGGAGGCGGGAATTCCCGGGAAAAGGCTTGGGGTTGAGGGCTTAGGGCCCTAAACCCTAAGCCCGAAGGCCTTAAACCCTAAACCCTAACGTGTGCTCTTTGTGGGCTTTGAGCTCCCTCTTTGGCCTTTTGGCCGTCTTTAGTGTATACCTACTGCTGGTGGGCTTTGGACCCTGCATGCGGGAGAAAGGGCCATTACACTTTAAAAAA